GCTATCTTTAGGACTCAGAGCCTACTGGAGACCTTCCTGTCTCCCTTTTATTACATATTCTCATCCTTCCTTGCTTCAAGTTCCTGCCCCCCGGGACAAAGAATAAAATGAGAACTGAAGCTGCCTTTTAAAGCTGCCTGGCTGATGCAGAAGGCTTTTGTTTTAAACATGGGAGACCTGTTCCTGGAGTGCAGATCTGAGCATACTCCCTAGAAAAAGTCCATGGTGTGGGTGTTTTTAGGAACAGTTCTTGCGCAAAGGTACATGTAACTGCCCAGTTCTTTGGCTACAACAATCAATGGGCTCCTGAAAATGGGGACTGTAACCTGGGAAAGCATTTAGCCTAAAAGCAGTTACTCCTCTCCATTGTTAGTGCACATTAATCCTCAGCAGGTTAATCTAAGCTCTTCTACCACTATTATGACATCTTTAGCCATAACCCTTTAGTTTCTTCCTTTTATAGGAAGTTTCAGATGTTTCTTTTTTCTCTAAACGTATCGATTTCCTATCTTTATCTTTCTTATGCTGTAGAGAAAATGAAGTGAAATTTGAGGTGGTATGTTTGCAGAGGGCTAGAATTGCATCTTTTTTTTTTTTTTTTTTTTTTTTTTTTTTTTTTTTTTTTTTTTTCCCACTAAGAGCAACATAAAGCAGATGGCACTCTGGCGAGTTTCAGCATAGGGAGCTCTCGAGGATGCAGGCAGTACAGCTGCAGAGGGATGTAAGCACCCAAGTGCCGGGCCACAAACATGGAAGGAGGAGGAGGCAGCAAGTGCTGGAGCCCATTTTATTGTGTGCCCTGGAGCTGCTCAGGTACTTGCCCTGGTCTCTTCTCAAAGTAGATGCTACTTGCCTTCTGCCTCTGCCTGCTGGGAGTGAGAGCAGTCTCTGCCTGAGACTGCAGCCCTGTTACTGCCTGTCCTCGTTTGCTGTACAACTGAGCGTGCGACCAGAGGCGGTCTGGATGTAGAGGGCTCAAGTACAGGGAACTGCTTTGGGAGTCAGATCACCTCCTGAGAGGTGATCCTGCCAGGATCCATATCAACTGCAGTATGTCTTTACTGAGTGGATTTCTGACTCTCCTTTTTTGATTTTTTTTAATCACTGACATTACACCAACCAGTGTGTCAGGTAGTAATAGGAATGTAATGTTATTTTATTTGTGATTAGCTCATCTCTTGGACTCTGAGATTTTCTATTACTCAGCTTTCTATCATCACCTAGCTCTCTCTGAAGTTGTACTCTTCTTTGGTTTATTTACTCTCCCTCTGTAATTGAGAATTTTATTGTTGATTCCCATGAAAAATCATCAGTGCCTAAAAATAAATGAGCCGTCCCTACAATGCATCTAGTTTTTATGACCGTAGGAATCTGTTGAAAGGTTGAAATGGAGGTGAGGAGGATGAGGGTGTCCCAGGGTGTTACCTAAGTGTCTGATCTACAGATGAAAAGCGATGCTGGGTTTTCTGTTCAGGAAGGTGCCAGTAAAATGGCCCATTTCTTAGCACTGGATATTTTAATGGTATTCAGTGCTAAACTCTTCGTTAAGCATTGTACGGAGAGATCAGCAGTGCCCATTTCTGACAGCAGAATGGTGCAACATAAGATGGCAGACTGAGGTGGCATTCTCCTGAAAAATAAGAGGACGGTGTGAGAAAATTTCAGACAGAAGGAGGCATCTATCTCTTGACGTAGTGGGCAATTTTTTTTTAACTCTCTTGACGTTTGGAAGGGGTAGCAGTTCCCCTAGAACTGATAAGGGAAGGAAAAAAATCTGTTCCCAAAGAACACATATCCAGTTATTGTACTTCTGGGTGAACACAGTTTTCCATGTTCTCTGTGTCACACACTCATGCACACATGCACAAACTCTAGTTGGTTCAAAATGTAAACTCTAAGTTAAGGATACGATTAAAAATTAAATAGCCACTGCAGAAACCATCAATAGTAAGTGCTTATTAACTTAAATATAACAGCATGCTGGTATGATAGCTTCAAATTGCCTGCTGAAACTGATTTGCAACAAACAAGGCCAGCTTTCCAAAAGGGTGTTTCTGGCTTTCAGTAATGAGACCCCCAGCTTTAACTGCTTGTTTCTGTTCCTTCACAATTTTTGTCAGCATTTTTAAGAAACTGATAATGTGCATGACTTCCTTGAACGATAGTGGGTGACGTGCTTAATTTGTCACCTCTGGCACTTTAGCAGAATGACACAGTAAAGATCTGATCCAGCTTGGCCCCATCTCCTGCATTGTGAGATTCCTACAATTTGCCCCTCACTTCCATACCCTTCTTCTGCGAGGCTTCAGGCTCACAGATGGGTAGAGGCTTCACCAGAGCCTCTATCAGTTCTGTGAGCCACTGTGCTGGGTAGTTGTTTATATATTTGTTGCATGATAATTTGAAGGTCAAAAGCTGATTTACGTGTGTTCGCTTGCCCATCTGAGTTCCGCATGCCCATAAACACAGCTGTGATTTGCAGACTAGCTACATCTGGTACTGCATGGCAAAAGCTGGTTTTCTAGAAAAGGCATTCCCCTAGCTCTGTGGTCCCATCTCACATTTATGCCCTGCTCTGTCTGTGACCTGCAAGTGGAGTCCTGCATATCAAAGGATGGGATGTTTGCCCATCTTGCTTCACGGGAGTCAGCGTGGTTGTGAGTTAGAGCAAGTCATTCTCAAAAGAACTGCCTGGATTCAACACTGGCAATTCAATGCTAGCATTAAATATTTAGGGGGAAGTTACAGACTTCTCAAAATTTGGACAAATCTGATGGGTCCCAGCAAAGCAGGGTCTTTTCCAGTGTGCTCTGTCTTCCTGGACTTTTGCTTTTCAGGAGAGTTGGATAATGCAGGTAACTTGACCAATAAATGGTACAAAGGAGCTTTTGCTTACTTATATCCTGTCTTCCTTTGGCTAAAACTCAGTGCTGCTCACTTAAGAAAGCAGCTGAACTTTGTGCTTGTTGTCTGGGTCTCCTGTGTTCATTCAGGCTGGAGATCTTCTTCCCCCTTTCCTCCTGCCAGTCAAAGGTGAGAAATGAATGAGTGTTACTTGAATTCAAGATCTATAGCCAGCCTAACATCAGTGGATTGTATATATCCTGTAAGAAACCTTTACTTTAGTTCTACCTTCATGTGAGAAAGTAGCATGTCCCCTGAATGGCTGCCAAACTCCTTGAACAAGTATTTACCTGTTTTGCTTTTCTTAAAACGTAGCTGGGAAATGGTTCTTGTCATGAACACCTCAGCCTTGTCGACTGTATATTTTCTTGCTCTGCTCTGCTTGCTGTGATCTGTATTTGGAACCTTTGTCTATACAGTGGGCAGCTCTTTGGTTGCTGATGATGTTTTAGCTCAATATTGGCTACACCTGCTCTTTGGAGAATTAGACAAATGAGTAGCTAATACAGTACCAGTTACTATCTGTTCCAGCTTGCCTTCAATTGCTTAGACCAGTGACTTGTGCTGTCAGGGGTGTGAAGGCTATCCTGACGGTGGTGTTCACTGTGGGGAGTTTCTGGATGTAGCTGGAAAGTCGTATGAGGCACAGGGACAGGGACAGTAAGGAGGCGTGAGGTAGCTCTAAGAAGGTAGTGGAGGACATAATGGATGTGAACTAGATCTGAAGTGCAGGTCAGGGAGCCCATGGCTGCTGAGAGCCACTGCTGGAGCCAGGATACTGGGCTAGGTCAACCCTTTGGTATGGGCTTCACTCGCGCTTTCTCTGCTTTTGCTTTCCTGCCTTTTCTGAAGCCTTTCCCGTATAATTGCATGCCATCCCTACCATCAGGTCTCAAACTGTATGGAGAAGGGAGAGGAAGCCACACAACATGCCCAGTTGGAGCACAGGAAACAAGGTTGGAAATCTACAGGCTTAGATGGGGAGAGCTGAATTGCTGTCAGCAGCAGAGGCACACGACTCCAATGGTCTCAAGTGTACAGAATGCCGCAGGGAGCAATTCCTTTTCTTCTCGATGTTCTAAAGAGCAGATGGATCTCAGATGTTTATTGCCTTAAGCTGTATTGTTTTATTGGCACATCAGATCTAGATGATTGACAGATTTGTCAAACAGAAAATAAAATTAATCTATGCCCAATTGTATGGGTTTTAGCATCTCTAGTTCCTTTTCAGAACTATTCTCTTTATTGCCCAGCTTATCCAGTGTGCAAATGAAGTGATATTTTCATTTAGAGTTAAGAGAAGGCGTAAACAAACTGTTACAATTGAAAACCAGTCTGGTGAGCTTTAAAAGCAGTATTTGACATCTTGGCAGCTTTTTGGTTCAGAGCTGTGTCTGAAGTAGGAAAAATGTCAAACTTGGTGCAGAGAGTCCAGGTTGAACCATACTGGTAGCAGTGAAGCAAGATTTAGTATATGTTACAGCTTGAATAGCTTGAATTTTTAAAAACTGTACTACAGTTGCAAAAGCATGAATTAAAAGCTTTTGAAGCCAGTAACATATTTATTTAAAAGTAATTGCATCACAGTCCTGAATATTGAAAGCTGGTTTTGTTCACATCTATCCCATGTCTATTTCTTCTCCCCAGAACACATTTGAATTCTGTGGAGGATGAGGTGATGAGTGTTTCTGTGTGTTTTTTCACAGCAAGGCCTTTGTCAGGTTTTTTTATCCTTCCTCTTACCAAAAAAAAAAAAAATCAAAGAAACAAAAAACTGCTTTAAAATAGTGCAGTATTTCCAATAGTTGCAAACTCTGCAGTGCAAAGTGGATATAAAATATTTAATGTGATTTTAAATTGAAACTGTGCTACATATTTACTTTTTAAAGAAGAGTACATTAAATTTATTTGAACTTCAGACAGCAGAGTAAGGTTAGATCTTACAGGTTCTCATAATTATTTAAATTCATATTTTTTGATGTTTAGCAGTGAGTATTTGCTGCCGAAATGCAAAGAAAGTCAGACAATTGGATTGATGAAAGTCACTGGTTAAACACTTGTTGTTGAAGTGCTAAACTCTTTTTTGACTTCTGCAGGTGCAGAGATAATATCTGTTTCATGTTTATTCAGCTATTTCAATTCAGTGACTAGTTCATTCAAAGGTAAGAAACCACTTGAGAGAAGAAAAGCTAAAAAGCTTCTTTTCCTTTTTTAATCTGTGAACAAAATCTGGGCAGTAAAGGATATGATCTGCCAGTTCTGAGATCTTGAGAAATGAGGTAACCAGAACTAAGATGTTCAGTTCACCAAGTGAAGGTAATACTTCATTGCTTAATAAGACAACTAACTTACTTATAAAAAGTATGATGATAATCTTATTTTTGTCTTGTTTATATAGCATATTTGGAAAATAGTATTCTTCAACATTTTAAGTGAACTTTACTTTTGCACACTAAGATCTATTTTACAAGTAGGGCTTAACATGAATCCCAAATGAAAAAAAATCTAGTGTAGTCTATCATAACTCATGCCCTAGTATGATAAGAATGTAAGGAATGAGAATCAAGAGAGTTGTGGATAAAAGTTCTAATCATGTAAATATGTAGGTTGTGTTAACTGAAAAAGAAATGCCATATTTATTGGCACATGCTATATTCAATTTTAGATCAACATACTGACAAGTTTAGTATTACATCTGGAGTCTGCTGCCCACAACTAGCTTAGGATAAGTAGTTTCTGTATTTTTAAAAAAGTTAACAGAAGTATTGATAGGGAAGAACAAAGGGATAAAGAGCACTGTAACTACCAAGAACTATTAGCAGAAAGCAGTTGTCTAGAGGACACAGAGGATGCAGTTCATCTCTTTTGGTTTAGAGGTCCAGGCACGTGAAGGAGCAGTCAGCAATATACTTAGGGCAAAGCAACCTGACTGCCTTCTATGACGAGATGACTGACTGTATGGACAAGGGGAGAGCAGTGGATGTTGTGTACCTTGACTTTAGCAAGACATTTGACATAGTTTCCCACAGTATCCTTATAGCCAGATTGCTGATATATGGACTGGATAAGTAGACAATAACGTGGATGGAGAATCATCTGGACTGTCATCCTCAGAGGGTTGTGATCAGTGGCAAGAATCCAATGGTTACTAGTGGCATCCCTAAGGGATCAATACAAGGGCCAACCGTTATTAGTGATCAAGGTGATGAGACAGAATACACCCTCGCCAAGTTTGTGGGACAGTACCAAATTGTGAGGGAGCACTTGATATGTTGGAGGGCAGTGCTGTTGTTCAAAGGGACCTGGATGGATTGGAGAAATATACTGACAGGAACCTCATGAAGTCCAACAAATGGATATGCAGCATGCTGCATCGCATCTGGGAGGGAATAACCCCCTGCAACAGTACAAGCTGGGGCCTGACTGGCTAGGAATCAGCTTTGCTGAAAAAGACTTGAGGGTTTTGGTGAACAACTGTTTGAACACAAACCAGCAGCATGCCCTTGCCTCAGAGAAGGACAGCAATGTGCCGGGCTGTACAAGCAAAAGAGCGTAGCCAGCAAGTCAAGGCAACTAATTCTTCCCTTCTGTTTGGCAGTAGTGAGACCACATCTGAACACTGTGTCCAGGTTTGGGCTCCACAGTAAAAGAAAGACATTGACAAACTGGAGTGAGTCGATGGACAGGCTGCCAAGGTGGTCAGGGGAGTGGAGCACATGATAGGAGGAAGGCCTGAGGGCTGGGTTTTTTCAGCCTGGAGAAGAGAAAGCTCAAAGGGATTTTACTGTGGTCTGCAACTATTTAATGGGAGGGTGCAGAGAAGACGGAACCAGATTCTTCTCAGACATACAGAGGGACAGAACACGAGGCAATCGTCTCAAGTTGTAATAAAGAAAATTCTAAGTAGATATAAGGAAAAATAAGTGTATCCTGAGTGTGGTGAAACAGTGGAACGGGCCCAGAGAGGTTATGGATCTCCATCTTTGGAGATATTCCAAACTTAAATGGGCATGGCCCTGAGCAACCTGCTCTAAACACTAACTGTGCTTTGAGCAGGAGGTTGGACTAGAGACCTCTAGAGATCCCCTCCATCCTACACTGTTCTGTGATTTGATAGATCCCAACATGTGAGCTACTTGCCAGAGCTTCCTTTTATAGCCATTGTAGGAAAAACGGGAACTATTAGAGGTGTTTTATGTGATTTGCTTAGGCATCAACTATGGAATAAGTTGTACGTCACTCTGGGAGGTCCTGATATCCTCCCCGGAGTGACGAGCTGAATATTTGCCTACCCTTGGTCAAGTGAATCTTGTCTAGACAGTCTGATAAGCATTAAAATCTCAAGACAGCAGTTGCTGTTTCTGAGGGCAAAGGAAATTACTGCAGAAATTTACTTTATGCTTGATTCTGACTCAGAAGGAAGTGGTTGAGAATCTGAAGGCAGAAGGCAACGTGAGCAAAAATGACCACAAAACAAAAGAGTTTTTGATCTGAAGGAAAGGAATGAGTAAAAGCAGCTAAATAATGTGAAAGGACTGTAAAGGAGCTGGGTTTTTTTGAGCTTTGGGATTGGTAGATAAGGTGTGGGTAGGCAGGGAAAAGAAAGTTCGAGGGAACTGATGGGGTTTTTTTATTACAGGCATGGCAACAGACTGTCCCGGTAGAGGAGAAGGACACAAAGTATCATATGGCTGCTTTAGGACCTCTTCAATGACTTGAAAATCAGGAATACTACAAATAATGGAAACAGGAGAATGTATTGCTAAGGGAGAAATCTAAAAAGTAACACAATATGTGAAGACTTAGAGGAAAATGAAGGAAAAATAAAGTTCCATTACTCAGTGGACAAGGAGGGGAAAGCAGATCACAAAGATGGGGCTGAACACTTCAGCCTTTCTTGACTTCAGTTTTCACAAATAGCTTGATTGTGACCAGGTGCTTGGCAAAGTTAATTTTAATGGAGAAAGAAGAATGCAAGCTGGAATAAGGAAAAGAGCATGATAAATGTAGAAGGGAAGTTAGATATAGTCAAGTCATCAGGATCTAGTGAAATAAACCCTAGAGTAGCAAGAACTCAGATGAGACAATCCCTGAACTGCTAGCTTTTGTCTTTAAGAACTTGTAAAGGATGAGGAAGGGCAAATTTAAACTCTTAAAATGAAGAAATTGATGAAACCTGTCAGCCTAACTTTGATACACATAAAAATGCTGCAAAAATTTTTAGTCGATTTGTAAACACTTTGAGGATGATAAGCTGATTGAAAAACAGCCCGTGTGGATTTGTTAAGAAAAAACTGTCAGACCTCTCTAATTTCCTCTTTGAATGGGATAATAGATATAGTAGATAAACAAAGAAGTAGTAGGTAGATATATCTTTACTTTAGTAAGGCTTTTGACTGTGTTGCAGAAGGCCAGATAGCCATCTCACAAGCAAACAAGGAAAATATCATCTAGATGAAATTACTGTGAGGTAGGTGAAGAGCTAGTTGAAGTACTGTATTTAAAGAATAGTTACGGTTTACTTGTCAAATAGGGAGGGAACCTGAAGTGCAATTCTGCTAGATTCCGCCCTCGGTTGGGTGCTATTCATTATTTTCATTAATGTCATGGATGATGGACTGGAGAGTACAGTGTGCAAGTAACTGAAAGCTACAAAGGGTTTTGAGTACTTTGGAGGGCAGGTTTCACATCCAAAGTGATCTTGATAAAATGGAGAGATGTTTGAGATGAGGAAGATGAGAATTCAGCAAATGTAAGTAAGAAGGCCTGCAGGGAGGAAGGGAAAACAAATATATGAATACAGATGAGGGATATCTGAGTAAGCAACATTACTGAGAGAGAGCATGTGGTGGTGGGTATCACAAGCTGAATGTGAGTCAGCAGCCTGATGCTATTGGGGGAGAGAAGGCCTGTGGAGGATCAGGCTTCAGTATAACATTTAAGCCATGGCTGACTATTTAACTGGCTATTAAGCTGACTTTCCGCTTGGATTTCTGTAGCTTTGCTACAGTAATATCCAGAGCTGGGCTTCACGCTTTGTAACAACGTAGACAAACTGGAGAAAGCCAGGAAGAGAGCTGAAGGAGTGAGCAGAGATTTAGAAAAGACCAGTGGGGAAAGGTTGAAAAAGCTGGGCTCAGGACACAAGGACAAGGACAAGAATAGAAGGAATACCCTTTCAAGTATATTAAAGGGTTTGTAATATGAAATAGTAGCTATATTTGTCCATGCCCTCTCTCCCCACCCAAGGGTAGGATGGCAAGTAATTAACCAATTACTTGCCAGGAGATTGTCAAATGCCAACTAAGTAGTTTGTACCAAAGGAGATTTAATTTGGAAATCAGAAACTTAGCATAAACATGTTTCAAAGTGGAGTACTTGAGAGAGTCAGTGTAAAGGGGACTTGTAGGTTTGAGGAATAGGTAGCAGTTACCTGTCAGGATATTTGTCCTTGCCTCTGAGCAGAGAGATAGACTAGATGATCTTTCTAATGTCCATTTCAGCTTTATGTTTCTATCTACCAAAGAAAAACAAAAATTAAAGGAGCAAAACAAAAATAAAATTGATTTAAACTGAAGGTTCCTGTTTGATAATTTTAATTATGATTATATTCAGCATTTTAAGTATCACTGGTTAAAATTAATCCCTCCTGTGGCAGTAGTAGCATCTTTAAGTTATGGAGATTTTTCACAATGCCTTTGTATTTATTAAAAAACAAAAGCAGTATTTTCTCCTTGGTGTGATAATCTGTTTGAGTATGAGTTACACAACTGATGATGCAGAGACTAAGATGTTCTTAAAACTGTTCTGAGGTATTTGCTTTAATGCCTTAGTTTTTCAGTAAATTGACTGAAAACATACTGTAAAAACTAGACACCTCTTGAGACAGTAATGTGGGGATAAGTACAGATTTCCTAAATATGTAATACTTGCATGAAGAAATATGAAATATCTTCCCTCTGAAAATGAACTACTCTCTAAACAAACACATTTCATCCAGACAGTAGCCTTGTGCATCTTGTTTTATATGGTGCTGTGCTGGTGACATTAATTCAACAAGGAGACCAGAATGGGAGACTGCTAGTTATTTTTCATGTTTGATTTTCTTCTTTATGAATATACTATAAAGATGGTTATGTTAAGCTAATTATACCTCAGCTTTTTATTTTCTGCTGCTGAGTGAAATCATTTAGAAGGATTTTTTTTCCCTTTTCCCTGAAAAATGGAACATTTGACCACAATTATCATTTTTTACATTAGATAAAGCACCTTGCTGTCTATTACCAAAAGTGATTTATTAGTACATAGGGCACACTGTTTCAGAAACAGTGTCTGACTAGCCAATGAGACATGAATAATCACACAGTGCAGTGCTTGCAGAATCAAATTATGTTTGACATTTAATATAACTGCAAAATATGATTTTAAAAAAAAATAAAAACAAAGACCTCGATAAAAAAGAGAAAGAAAAAGAAAATAGAATCCAGGTGATTGTCGAGATAAATTTTCTTCTTACTGGAAATCTGTGCTGAGCAGAATGATGAAGACAAGGGAAAAGCTGCTTTTCCCCTTTCTCATTCTGCTGTCCCCAACTGTCCTGCTTCCTCTGTCTCCCTGAACATGTGCCACCCACCTAAAGAAACGAATAGGAATGATTGGTCCCAGTGTGGCACTTTCATCATTCAAGTTGGTTCTGACAAAAAGACTTATTGTGTATAAAAAGTAGGTTATACACACGCTCAAGACTTGTGCTTATGTTGGTGTGGAGGGCTCATGCTCATCCATTGGCACAGAATCATTATCATCCACTGAGCTCCTTTTAGCCTGGTGCTCAGAACCTTTCATCTGAGAAAAAAGATTTTTAACAGCCACTGTTAAAGATGTTTCTGACTGGTACACCTTATTAACAGCGGGGAGAAAAGAGTTAATTCATTTTCCATCCATAATTTTTTCTTTGTAGAACCGATTTGACACAGTCTAGCAGGGTGCTGTTATTGAAAAATTGAAGCACCAGGTGTGATTAAATAAGATCACACGTTTCATTCCCTCTTTAATTTCACATCACCCTTCAGCAGCTGTATCCTTTTGCTATCCTATAGCTGAAGAATGCATTACCTTTATAGCCGCCTGGTTTGCCACGTTGGTGGCATGCACCATTGGACTGTTGTGAATCAAATCTGTTTGTGCACACAAATTATTTATTGTTTGATGGACCAAGCTTATTAATCTGTTTATTTCTCAAGAGCATAAGATACAGAGTATGATTGGGTAATGGAGACAAACCTGGCCTAACTTCTCCATATCTTTGGATGTTCATGCATGCAACAGAACAGGTTTCATTCCACTGCAAAGAGAATTAAAAAGTAATGGGTAAAGAGAGTGGTGGACTTGGGATCCCTTTTCTGTTCTTATCAGTTCTATAGGGTCTGACAAAGTCTCCTGCTGGGCTGAGGTTTCATGACCCACCGCTGACAAAAGGAGACACAACCACTGCCCTTCTGGCCGCAGTGGAGTAGATACTGCCATCGTACATAGAATGTATCCTTTGCGGCTGGGTCAGAAAGGTTGCACTGGGGCCACAACTATTTATAGTTAGATGAACATGATGCCAGGAAAAGAAAATGATCACTGATGGGTTTTTAGCTTTCTACTGTTGGAGAGTAGCATTCCTATTAAAAATGAACTGCAGTCTTAGAAAATGTCTGGCAGTTATTGCAGACGATGTTTCCATTTCCAGGCTCTGCCTGGCCTCACTCCTCTAAGGCCAAAACAACTCAAAAACAATGAGATTTTTCCTTCCTTCTTTTATCCTCAGAGGAGGAGGGCATTGTTTGCCATACACTGACACTGTTACCTGCTGTTAAAAGGTTGTGCCAAAGTGACCCTAGTAGAACCTGAGATGTTCCTGTGCAGCTCTGCTGAAGTGAACCCAAGCAGTAGTCTGTGTTCTGCCTTGCATGAGGATATAATGTTATGGATTATCATCCTGTAGTGTCAGCACTAAGGCATCCAGTTCCTGGGAACAAGGTTTGGGGTGCTGGGAAGAGGCCTACTGCTGCTGTTTTGGCTTATTTTTGCCCTCCTGCATCCCAGATGCTGCAGTCTTGTGGTTTGCTGCTGTAGCCAGTGGTGAGGGCACACATCTACAGAGCCATGATGTTCATGATACAATATGGAAATGTTTCTCAGCAATTCTGAACACCACTTACCAGCATTCATAAATAAGCAATGGGTAGACTAGCAGCGTTAGCTCTTTTCTGTCTTCTAGCACCTCTAGCCTCCTGTGCGAACATGCAGTTTTGCTCACCAAGGACTTGCCTGAAAGGGGTGCATCAATATTAATCAAATGAACTAAGTGTGTAAAATAGTTCCTGAATACCTCTCATCCCTAGTGAACAGGTTTTAGTTTGCTTTAGCATAATTCCCATATAAAAGAAAAAAGATGCCAGACCCAGGTCACGGGTGAGGTTTGCAGGTTTTAGGGACACATCTGGCCCTGTATCTGAGTATAAATAATGTCTGTAAATACTTATTTCTTCTTAAATTTGATCTCAGAAGCAGCACTGGGACCAGCTCATATGATGTCTCCCATTTTAAATTGAGTTCTGCAGATAAAACTAGCTGCACGTAGTGCAGGGCTGTCCTAAAAACTGAGCTGACATTTATGCATATGTGACTTAGTTCATGCAGGAAAAAGATACTCTTTGGTCTGTGAGAGGACAAAAAATAAAACTCCACAAAACTCCAAAGAAAATGCTTTTTCTTTTCTGTACGTTGGTAGAACAGTCTTCTTGGAGATGAAGGAAACTGTTCTGACCTTTCTTTTCCTTTGTGATACAAACTGAGCGTGATTGTTTCATCGTAACTGAAGCCAATATCAAATCACTGGTTTGCACTAACTTTGCCAGTTTCTATGTAATTATTGCCATATGTAATGGGATGCCTTTTCTGCAAATGCTTCTATAGTGACTCTGGATCATCTAAGATTTACTGCTGCTAATACAAGCAGCATTATTTCTTAACGGCATATTCACCTACACACAAAGGAAATGTTATAAGAGGTGGAGTTAAATAATTGTTTGTTTATTAGGCTTTTTTTTTTACTATTATTTCTTTTTGAGTGGCGACAAAGGACTTTCCCCTGGGTTCTGGTCTCTTTGTATGTTATCTAGCAATGTCAACCTAAAGTACTGGAAAATCCAGTCTTGAGTCCCATCAGAAAAGATGAGGTTTAAGAAGAATCCACATTTTCTTCTGTATGTTTTGGGCATCTGAGTCCTTAGCTGAGTCTTGGTTTCAGGCTGAAGCATTAAACCTTCTAAGAAACCAAAGTAGGAATTTTCATGCTGTTTCCTGGTTTGTGGAGCTATTGCTTTAAGGGAAACTAGGGTAACGTGGGAAAAGGTGGCACTACTGGCTACTTCTGCCAATGGAAAGCAAGATATTATATTCCCAGTTGCTTTCCTCATACCCTTCATTTCTTTAGGTAGAGGAACTTATCTTTCTTCCTCATCAAAGAAGTGTTTTGCCGTTGCTGCTGGTTTTCAAGCAAGGTCCTTTAATGCTGCTCTTTTCCTTTCAACATGCAAAGCAGCCTTTGCTCACACCTGCCATGTGATAGGATCCTTCTCTCTGAGGAGATCACAACATCTGTTTTGCTTCCTAAATGGAGAAAGAGAGAGACATTCTCAAGAAATTCTCCTGCTTTCCTGCTTTCTAACAACAAAAGAGATTTGAAAACATTTGGTCTTTCTGGAGAGAGGAAAAAACAGTGGAGGCCTAGACAGGAAAAAAAAAAAACTATGGAAAAATAAATTGAACATAATTTGAGCTATAATTAAAGGTCTTACAAAGAAGCCATACTGCCAAGTTGGAAAGAAAAATGTGCATTTTTAAATAAAGTACCTTTATGGAAGGATGTGCTTGGAGTTGCAACACAGGACTGCTGTTCAGGACATTTGAGCTCTTTCTGCTCCGGACTTTCTGGGTGATACCAGACCAGGAACTGAATCCTTATATGCCTTGCTTGTCTATATAAAACATGGATATCTCTATGATGGTATTGTGAGACTTGGTATTTCATACTGCCTGAATGTACAAAGAGGTATTACAGAATCACAGAATCGTTTAGGTGGGAAGGGACCTCTGGAGATCATCTAGTCCAACCCCCCTGCTCAAGCAGGCACCTCTAGAGCATATTGCCCAGGATCACATCCAGACGGGTTTTGAATATCTCCAGCGAAGGAGACTCCACTACCTCTCTGGGCAACCTGGTCCAATGCTCTGTCACCCTCACAGTGAAGAAGTTTTTTCTCAGGTTTAGTAGCTCATCAAGAGCCAAATTCAGAGGTGCATTAGCGAGTCTCAGGTCAAGGGTCCACAAACATTTCTCCTGGAGACCAATTTGACTTAAGAAGCTTCTGGCCACTTTTTCCCAGTCCATGCCATCTCCTCTGTCATGTTAGCATGGACTGTAACA